TGAGGCAGGCTGAGGCTGAGGCTGAGGCAGGCTGATGCTGAGGCAGGCTGAGGCTGAGGCTGAGGCTGATGCAGGCTGAGGCTGAGGCAGGCTGAGGCTGAGGCCGAGGCTGAAGGCAGACTGAGGCTGAGGCTGAAGCAGGCTGAGGCTGAGGCTGAGGCAGGCTGAGGCTGAGGCTGAGGCAGGCTGATGCTGAGGCAGGCTGAGGCTGAGGCTGAGGCTGATGCAGGCTGAGGGAGGCAGGCTGAGGCTGAGGCCGAGGCTGAAGGCAGACTGAGGCTGAGGCTGAAGCAGGCTGAGGCTGAGGCTGAGGCAGGCTGAGGCTGAGGCTGAGGCAGGCTGATGCTGAGGCAGGCTGAGGCTGAGGCTGAGGCTGAGGCTGAGGCAGGCTGAGGCTGAGGCTGAGGCTGAGGCTGAGGCTGAGGCTGAGGCTGAGGCTGAGGCTGAGGCTGAGGCTGAGGCTGAGGCTGAGGCTGAGGCTGAGGCTGAGGCTGAGGCTGAGGCTGAGGCTGAGGCTGAGGCTGAGGCTGAGGCTGAGGCAGGCTGAGGCTGAGGCCGAGGCTGAAGGCAGACTGAGGCTGAGGCTGAAGCAGGCTGAGGCTGAGGCTGAGGCAGGCTGAGGCTGAGGCTGAGGCTGAGGCAGGCTGAGGCTGAGGCTGAGGCTGATGCAGGCTGAGGCTGAGGCAGGCTGAGGCTGAGGCCGAGGCTGAAGGCAGACTGAGGCTGAGGCTGAAGCAGGCTGAGGCTGAGGCTGAGGCAGGCTGAGGCTGAGGCTGAGGCAGGCTGATGCTGAGGCAGGCTGAGGCTGAGGCTGAGGCTGATGCAGGCTGAGGCTGAGGCAGGCTGAGGCTGAGGCCGAGGCTGAAGGCAGACTGAGGCTGAGGCTGAAGCAGGCTGAGGCTGAGGCTGAGGCAGGCTGAGGCTGAGGCAGGCTGAGGCTGAGGCTGAGGCAGGCTGAGGCTGAGGCTGTCACTGCGACTGCCGTTGCCGCTGCGACTGTCATCGCGAATGCGACTACGACTGCGAGAACAGCAGAATTCTACAACTGGATTCTCATCTGAATCTTAAGGGGAATGCTTCCAGATATGCTCCTACACATCGCTGTTAGGGTGCTTTGCCGGGATAATTGAAAGGTTTTAGGAGATTGGGGGATAGAAGCTGGACCCTCGGCACTAGCTGAACTGTTGGGGAGGTCTGGGCTCGCCTTTTGCACAGCGTGACGCCGGACGCCACTTCGGACCCGCGGTTGCTGTTCGGCCCCTGCCGCCCCTTCCCCAAGGGCCAGCAAACCATGAAGGGCCAACACAACCTGTACCACCACCTCGGGGGCCCGCCCAAACACGTCCTTGATGCAGAGTCAGCCCGCCTCCAGCTCCAACAACCGCGCGCGCCGCCCCATCAGGACGGCCGCGGGGAAGGAGAGGCAAATGCTGCTGCGTCGTCGAACTCCGTTCCGTAACTCGTTTCGTGTTGAAGCTTCTGCTGTCTTCTATGATCGTTTTCCTTACATTCCTTTTCCTCTGTTCCCACTGGTTCCCCCCTCCTCCCCTCTCAACCCTTTTTCCCTTTGTTTTTCTTTCCCGTTGTCGCCATGATCTTCCTCATCCTTCTCCCCATTCCTCCGACCTCGTCACCCTCCTCCAACATGTACTCACCCTGTTGCTGTTTGTCCTCATTCTCCTTCTCCTCTTGAAACGCCTTCATCCTCCGCCCCATGCTCCCTCATCTTCTCCTCTTCATGGGGAGAGGAGACGAAGGAACGCAGGATGCATGCGAGAGGATGGAAAGGGGGAGACAGGATGACGTAGATGGGGAAGAGGAGGATGAAGGACGCCAGTTTCTTTTTCAATCCCCAAAGGCTAGGCTTGCGTCGGGGAGTGGCTTTCATGCTTGAAACTTGTTGTTATTTTCGAGATGGCACTTCGCCCATCGCAAGTAAAAACAAAACGGATGCTTGCACACATCAGAATGGAAGGCAGATGGGATGATAGTGGAGAGGCTTAAGCCGCGGCGTAGCAGCATAATGCGGCGCGCAACGGCGGACACGTGAAAAGGCAAACACATGCGTTCATACAGCTGCACATGCTTGTTGCTTTTCCATGGCCAGAGGCTGGGCTTGTGTCGAATTGCGGCTTCCACACGTGAAACGTACAGTCGGCCGAGAAGGCACGCGTGCATCCGAACACGTGCTGTGCCCTGGAAAGCAGCATGCTTCAACAGTCTCAAAATCTTTGTTCACCTGAGGGCCCCGACGCCTTCGGAGCTGCACGCGAGCCAGCGAGCGGTCTGCTTAGACAGCTCTGTCACATTTGTTTGTGCAATGCGACTCCGCCGCGCCCGTGTGGCCCTGGGCCTTCGAAGGCGGGGTGGGGCCTGTGTGTTTGCGCGCAGATCCCGCGCGCGTTCCCGCGCCGAGCGGGGGGCGGGCGGGGGGCGGCGCGCGGCCCCCCGCGCGGATGCGACTGAATATTTTCAAGCCGTTCCGAGTTGGCAAAGATCGAATGCGGCTTTCCTGCAGCGGGGGCGTTGATTCAGCTGAGGATTGCCAACTCCTGCCCGCCGTAACAGCTGCCAGGGGCGTCGCGCGCCATGGGCGAGCCATGGTGAATGCGTGCGACACTTATCATCTTAGCGACTGCAAGAAGCGGCTTTCCCCACCGCGAGGCGTTCCAGGGCGGCGCCGTCCACTCGCGGGGCGCCGCGGATATTTTGAAGGCGTGGGACGCGGGGGCGGCGCAGCGAGAGCGCAAGCGCGAGGCGCCCGGATATCGAGCCGACGATTGTCTGCGCGACGGCTTTGACGCCAGAGTAGTAAATGCTCTGAATGACAGCGGCCCGCGTCTAGAGACGCAGCCTTCGGGGCGCGCGGCGAACTCCGCGCGCCCCCGAAGACAACTCTGCAACGGGGCACGAAACAAAACTGGACAATTGGATGCGCGCGATGTCGCTCAGTCCGCTCGTCAGCGCTGCCACCTCCAGCTTCTTTTCTCGAGCCGCGGCGCCCCCGCGGGGCGGGCCCCCCGCGCCGCCGCGCGCGACTGCGGCCGGGTCGGGCGGCTGCAACATCAGGATGCTCGCCGGTGGCGCAGGTCGTCGTCGCCGTCCGCCTTGCGACAAACCTGGTCGGGGCGCAGCGAGGGGCGGCCGCGCGTGGCGGTGGCTCTCTTGGATCCCGTCCCGAGCTCCGCCGCGCTGGCCTCCCCGCGGCGATGGCCGCCCTCGGCCACCGCCGGCTCCGGCCTCTGCGGCTGAGCCCCGGGGCCCCGGGCGAATGTCGCTCCGGGCCGCGGCCCCTCGCCCCCGCGGCCAGTCTGGCCCCGCCCGCGCGACTCGGCCAGGCGCGGCGGCGGGCTGCAGCTGGGGGCGAATGAGGAGCGCGGCGGCGGGGGCGCAAGCAGCCGCCCATGGATGTGCGCGATGTCGCTCGGCAGCCCCCGCCCGACGCGCCCTGCGCCCTGCGCGAGCGCCGGGCTGGCCCCGGAATCCACGCCCGGCGCCGCGACTCCCGCCCTCGACGGCGCGCCGCATTCCGGCCGCGCCGGGCGCGCGCAGCGGACGGCGTTGTCCGAGCCCACCTGGGTCAGGCGGGGGGGCTCGCCGAGAAGCGGCGCCGGGCTGCCCTGGCGCCCGCCGCGGATGACTCCGGGAAGGCGGGCGGCCTGAACCTCGCTTTGGCGGCCCAGGTGTCCGCGATCATCCTCGGGGCTCCACGTCGCCCTTGAAGACGGAGAAGGCGCTGGCTGCGGCCTCCGCGCGCTCGCCGAGGTTGATCGGGCCGCGGCCCAGCAGCAGTCCGACGGCGCGAGCGTGAATAATCCTGCCCCGCGCAAGTTATGGATCGGGGAAAGGGCGAACGTAGGCCAGGTCAGCGGGTCCATCGTCGCGAACCAAATGCCCCGCCTGCCCGCGATCTCGGTCTAGACCAGTCAGGCAGCTAGCGCCGTCGCGCCGCCCGCCTGCCGTCGGCGGGGGGGCCATCCCTTCTGAGTTGATGGCGCGACGCGCTGCTTCGTTGCATCTCCCAGCACATGGGCGCGCAGCTCAACGCGGGCTGCCGGTCCAGAACAGAAGCGGAGGCAGGGCCTTTTTGATGATCTCGTGGGCGTTGTCGATCCTCGTAGATTGAGCGCGCGACGCCTGGGGCCCCCGATGAGGGGCGCCATGCGTGCAAGGCCTCGGAGAGATACCATTCGACGCGACGCCAGCGACGCGCGCGCGGACGAATGCCGCGAAAACCTCCACCCGTGGCCAGGCAGCCCAGGTTCAGCGCGGGGGCGGGCAACGACTCTAGGGCAACCACCGCGGGCAATGCGTCCCCGCGGCCGGCATCTTTGCCACCGCCGGAAGCTTCGAACTGGGCCTGGAGCTCGGTTATCTTCGCGGCATCCGCCGATATCCTTTCCAGCAATGCCTTGCCGCCGCTGGTGCCGCCAGGGCCTTGGTCGCCTCGGAACAACGCCCGCTCCTCTCGCCGCTTCCTCTTCTCCTATATCAGCGTCGCTTTCCTGCGCTCCGCAGGGATGTGCCTGGCAAGAATTAAGGCGCGTCGCCGGCGGCCCCTTCGTCTCCGAGGTGCCCCTGCACAGGTACTTGCCCCCCAGGGGCCCGTCGCCCGTGCTCTTGAACAAACGTTTGCAGGCGGTGGAGCCACTCAGTGAGCTGAGCACGTCGCGGAAGGGACAGCTCGAAGAGGTTGAACTAGCTGATACGGAAGACACTGGCGCTAACCCCCAGGGCTCGCGTCGCTAGCTCGTGGTTTGACGCGCGGGAGTCTCCGCTGCGCAGCCCGCGCTCCGCGCGCCACTTGGTTCGGCGGGCGCACCGCGGCGCGGGCCACGAAACCTTCGCAGACCACTCTGGCCAAACCGTCTCGCTCATGTTCCGCGCCGCGTCGCTGAACACGCGTCTCCTCTCGCAGTCGAGCCCGTGCAAAGACAAACGGCGCACGGGCGTCCTTGGAAATCTCGGCTTGCTTCGCGGAGCAAGTCTTCGCGGCGCACGCCCCCGCCGGCCTTCAGCAGCGCGGGCCCGTCGCGCTTCGCGAACCATCCGCTGCCATCGAAATTCCACGTGGCATTGACATCCACGTCGCGGTTGCTGGCCTCCACGAGCCATCCCTTGCCGTTGCCGGCCTGCAGCCGACCAGCACCCTGATCCACCTCAGGAGAAGTCGGTGTTCCACCCAAGCCCTGCTGCCCCATCTGCTGGTCCTCGTCTCTCAGGGCTACCGCTCCGCTTCCGCACAGGAGCCGCGCAACCCCATGAGGTCCTCCAAGTTCGGGCACCAGTCGTCGCCGTAGTGCCGTAGCGGTGATTCGGCGGGCCGTGCTGCTGGCTCCGCCTTGCGCCTCCGCCAAGCCGACCTTGCCTCCGCCAGGCCGACCTGCGCCCATCCCATCGCGCGCGACAGCGGTGCTAGCGATGGCGTTTCCACCTCGTGCTGGTAGATGTTGGCGTCTGGAGAAGCTGCCGACCACACTGGATTCGTCGGATGTCGGAGCCTCGCCGTGCACGCCTTCGCACTCTCCCTCGCGTGCCTGGCGCAATATCAGCGTTGCTCATAAATCCTCTCCCCGCCGTCACTGCACGACCATTCGCATCACCGCGCGCAGCAGTGAGGCCATGGTGCAGCACGCCTCCCGAGAGCACCGTCGCCGAATATTAGCAGCCAGCTGTAGCGCCCACGATGAAAATCAGCGTGAGCAGGATCTTGGTGTCCCCAACGTGCTCAGCTGCCGCCGCCCACTGGCAACCCGCCAGCGCCAGAGAACCCAGACGCCTGGCCCAGGCTGTGGCTTCGGCGATCGCCGCCCCCCCAAGTTGGAGCATGCAGACGCCGGCCCTGAAGAGGCTCGAGCCGCGGCACGGCAACGGATGAGAGGACAAAGACAGACAATTATCTCCATAGAGCTGCACGGCATCCTTTTCCTCCTCCGTTCCCTCATGCCCCCTCCCCGTCCTCCCTCCTCCTCCCTCCGCCTCCCTTCCAGGGACCTCCGACGACGCTCGGCACCATGCTTGGGGACTGGCTCCCCGCCCCGAGCACCCTTCTTCTGACGGCCCCAGGGCCCGAAGCGTGGCCCCTGGAGGCCGCGACCTCAAAACACCACGGTCGACAAACACTTTCGGCATTGCGCGTCGCGGCCGCAGCCCTGGCGACACGCCGTGCCATGCCCTGCAGGCTGATCGAGTGACGTTCCGCGGAGGGCTAAGGAGAGGCTCGAAACGCTGACGATCGGGGACCGGGACGTGGTTACTGGCGCGCCGAAGCGCGGCGGGCCAGAACTGGTGGCGCGACACGCTGCATTGAAGTTCCTGGCCGTAAGGCACACCGAGACAAGCATACCATATGTGTATTCATACATATATATATATATATATATACATATATATATATATATATATATATATATATATATATATATATCCGCCGGCCCCCTTGTGGGGCCACCAGGCTGTAGGCCCGTGATTCGCAGTTTCCTGTACCAGTCGTAGGTTGTAGTTTCCAGTGTTACAGTTCTGCTTCTTGCTGGTTACTGTAACTAGTTTACTTATTGCTGGTTACTGTAACTAATTGATTGACCGCGCGAGGGGGGAGGAGGCCCAAACCGGCTTTTTAGCACCCCCTGGGCGCGTTGTCTGAATTGCTGGGGGGGCTCGAAATCGACACCCCTCACGCAGATCCGCGGGGTCAGGGTCCAAAAACACAGGGGATTTGCCACATTTCTGAAATTCGGTGCCACCCCTCACGCAGATCCGCGGGGTCAGGGTCCAAAAACACAGGGGATTTGCCACATTTCTGAAATTCGGTGCCACCCCTCACGCAGATCCGCGGGGTCAGGGTCCAAAAACACATGGGATTTGCCACATTTCTGAAATTCGGTGCCACCCCTCACGCAGATCCGCGGGGTCAGGGTCCAAAAACACATGGGATTTGCCACATTTCTGAAATTCGGTGCCACCCCTCACGCAGATCCGCGGGGTCAGGGTCCAAAAACACAGGGATTTGCCACATTTCTGAAATTCGGTGCCACCCCTCACGCAGATCCGCGGGGTCAGGGTCCAAAAACACATGGGATTTGCCACATTTCTGAAATTCGGTGCCACCCCTCACGCAGATCCGCGGGGTCAGGGTCCAAAAACACATGGGATTTGCCACATTTCTGAAATTCGGTGCCACCCCTCACGCAGATCCGCGGGGTCAGGGTCCAAAAACACAGGGGATTTGCCACATTTCTGAAATTCGGTGCCACCCCTCACGCAGATCCGCGGGGTCAGGGTCCAAAAACACATGGGATTTGCCACATTTCTGAAATTCGGTGCCACCCCTCACGCAGATCCGCGGGGTCAGGGTCCAAAAACACATGGGATTTGCCACATTTCTGAAATTCGGTGCCACCCCTCACGCAGATCCGCGGGGTCAGGGTCCAAAAACACAGGGGATTTGCCACATTTCTGAAATTCGGTGCCACCCTTCACGCACATCCATCGCAAGGCGTGGTAACCCAAACTGCGAGAACTCCCTCGGCCCTTTAATCGCAAGGTGTGGTAACCAAGCCCGTAAACCATACACGTCTTACCAATCGCCAGGTGTGGTAACCCCTCTTGTGATCAGTTGGTTTTGCTGATTGCGAATCGGCTTCGCATGAAGTTTCGATACTGCTTCACGACAGCGCCAAGGCCTCATGACTTAGCTCTTCCATGGCCCATTCTCCGAGAGAGGGGGCCGGCGGCAGGGGCGAAGCCCTTACGGATATATATATATATATATATATACACATATATGTATATATATGTATGTGTGTATATATACATATATACGTATATATACATATATATACACATGTATATGACAGCAAGAAAAACGGGGCTTCAACGATCTGGAGCTTTGCGCTGGGGATAGTGTTGCTCTCAGTGTCCGCTTGTGACGGCATGGGCCCAACAACGCCAATATCGCTCAAAGGGCCGACATAGGGAAAACAATTACCGGACTGAAGCGCCGTCAAGAGCCAAGGGACAACATGGAAACATCTGGGAATTCAGAGTTCGAGTCGGATATCGACTTCAGGATTGATGTGCTCCAAACCTGCTTGCTCGTCGAGTTGTCATCAAACATGTAGATCGCATTTGTATACCTACGACCATACTACGCAATTGTCCCATAGTTTGGCGACAAGCAACTCTGAGGCGCATCGATTCTACAATCGATCCCCTTCCTAGTCGAAGAGTTCCCGACCGCAATTGCCGTATACATAAACATAGATATGTACACGGATCTCTCTCTCTCTCTCTCTCTATATATATACACATACACACGCATATGGTGGATTCTGAGCCCAAACATGTTGTCATCTCTTGGGTGTGCATCTTTTACTTACGCCGCCTTCCACCAGTAGTTTCCGCCAGCGGAGACGGCCTCGCTTTACTTCCGTCGCCTCCTGCCGAGGAGGAACTGGCAACTCCTTCGATCCTCGCAGGAAAAGCACTGTCTGGAACGACCCAGGTAAATATACACAGTTAGTTCTGTTTACATATATACATATGAATATTGCTATGCATGTTTGTGTTTGTGTGTAGTATGCATGTATGCTTATATATATACAGATATGTCCGCCTGTCTGTCTGTCAGTCTGTCTCTCTCTGTCTGTCTGTCTGCCTGTCTCTGTCTGTCTGTCTGTCTGTCTGTCTGTCTGTCTGTCTGTATGCCTGTGTGTATGTGTATACATATATACAACACATACCCTCGCTGCTTCGAAAGTCTGGCTCCCGCTCGTCTCCGACGAGCGCAGGCCCCTGGGCTCGCCCAGCCGCTCGCGCTCGCCGAGCTCGTCGAGCAGCCCGGACAGCTCGAGGTCCAGGCGCTGCTTCTTCGCCCAGCCGGCGTCCTCCGCTCGTCGTCGTCGTCGACCTCGTCGTTGCGACGTCGACGACATCGACGGCGTCGACAACGTCGACGGCGATGGTCGGGGCGTCCCGCGCAGCGCCGCGCTGGCGGGCCCCAGGGCAAGGGCAAGGACAGGGAGGGACGCGCACGGGGGGGGCCTCCTCCCGCTCGCCATGCTCCTCGTCCCTCCTCCTCGTCCTTCTCCTGGCTCCTCCTCGTGCTTCTCCTGCTCCTCCTTCTCCTCCTCGTCCTCTCTCTCTCTCTCTCTCCTTATCCTTTGACTCCTCCTCCTCCTCCCCCTCCTCCTCCTCCTCTTTCCCGTCGAGGGGAGCGGGAGCCACAGGATCTGAAGGCAGCACGAGCCCTCGACGCAAACGTTGCGCGCTGGACCTTTTGCGATCGTCTGCCAGCTTCCCTCCTAGAGCCGCTCCAGCTTGCGATTCGGCGCGGTTGGGAAAAGATCGGCCTCCCGAGGGTCCTCGCGGAGCTCTGGGATCGGCGCTGGGCAGCCGTCCCTGGCGAGCGGAGCGCGCCGGGGGCCGCGCGGGAGGCGCCGCCAGCCACGGAGGTCCAGCGCCGATCCCTGAAGTCCACGCGGACCCCCGAAAATCCACGATCAGGAACTTTGGCAAAGAGTGTCGCTGCGGCGGCCTTGGCGACACGCTATGCCTCGCGAGTGCATGGCGGGTCGCTCCTCTCCGCGGGGCGGGAGGCTGGGAAAAAGGCTCGGGACGTGGACGCTGGGGGACCCCGAAGTGGAGAGCGTGTCGTACCGAAGCTCGGTCAGCACTGGCGCAGCGACACGCTGTCCAAAAGTTCCCGACCGCATGTTCGTGCAATTCCTTCTTTTTCTTTACCCTCTGCTTCGTAAAAGTGCTGCTTCTCCTTCTGCCTTCTTGAGTCTCCTCCTTCTCCTCCTGCTCTTTCACCTTCTCCTACTCCCCCCTCTCCTTCTCCTCCTCCTCCTCCTCCTCCTCCCTTTCCTCCCTTTCCTCCCTTTCCTCCTCCTCCTCCTCGTCTTTCTGCTTCTCCTCCTCCTCCTCCTCCTCCTTTTCCTTATCCTTCTCCCCCTCCTCCTCCTCCTCCTCCTCCTCCTCCTCCTCCTCCTCCCTCCTCCTCCTCCTTCTCCTCCTCCTCCTCCTCCTCCTCCTCCTCCCCTCCTCCTCCTCCTCCTCCCCTCCCTCATCCTCTCCTCCTCCGCCTCCTCCTCCTCCTTCTCCTGCTTCTGATCCTTTTCCTCCTCCAAAAACTATGCTCCTTCCCCTCCTCCTCCTCCACCTCTTCCTCCTCCTCTTCCTCCCCCTCCTCCTCTTCCTCCTTTTCCTCCTCGTCCTCCTCTTCCTCCACCTCGTCCTCCTCCTCCTCCTCCATATGACTTCATCATTCATCCCATTTCCCTTCCCATTTCTCCTCCTCCTCCTCCTCCTCCTTCTCCTCCTCCTCCTCCTTCCCCTCCTCCTCCTGCTCCTCCTCCTTCTCCTCCCTTTCCTCATCCTCCATATTACTTCGTCACTGGCCCCATTCCAATTCGCATTCCTCCTCCTCCTCCTCCTGTTCCTCCTCCTGTTCCTCCTCCTCCTCCTCCTCCTCCTCCTTTTGGACTTGGAGTCAGGATGAAGTGCACGAAGCGACACCCGCCAGGAAGAGGGAACACGAGACAGGACTAGGGCAAAGCGAAAGCGAAAGAGAGCACGCGAAGCATGCGGTGAACCCGGGAGCCTGCCAAGGCAGGAACGGGGTCCCGACACCCAAGAGGGGCAGGGCGGGCCGAGGCCTCGCACCGTGTTGCCTCGGGCCCGCTAGGGCTCTGGGCTTGAGAGCTCACGAGCAAAGTCGTTGCCCATGACTCGGGTGACGTACGGATCCAGGGGTTCCCAGAAGGCCATGAAGTCCGATTCGACCTCCTCCGAAGAGGCTCCCCAGACATGCGGCCATCTCCCCTGGAAGACCTGAAGGAAAGCAGAAGCAGCAAGACGGCACATGCCCTGGGGGTACGCCTTAGCCCGAATGGTTCGCCACTGCCAATTGCCCTCCATGCCCGCAAGGGTCTCATGGCCTCGAGGGCCATGGAAGCACCTCCCGCCCCCCCGGGCAGCCCGTGCCCCCATGCCAAGAGAAGGAAGGTGAACCGAGAGGAGGAGAGTAGGCTTCATCGACGGCGCCCCGAAAACGCACTGGTCGATGAGGACCCCCTCAACCTCGGGCCGCCCGAGGAGGAACTCCAGCTCGTCGAGCTTCCACGCCGAAGGGGCCCCCAGACGGAAGGGAGGAGCAGGGTGCTCCATCACCGCCGGGATTTCGAGGCGGAGGGCAACGAAGAGGAAGTAAATCGTCGTGCGGAGCAGCAGGTTCCCCGCCTCAGCCTGCCTGGCTTCCTTGGGGGTAAGGTCGCCAAGGCCCCAGGGCTTGCCTGGGGTGCGGAGAGGCCTTGGCGGGGGACCCCTACACTCGGTGGTGTCACGGAGGCGGGCCTGCGACCAAGTCTCGCACGGAGGGCCAGCCCAGAATCCGGCGACCTTGCCGCCAGCCATGGCACGATACCAAAAACGGATCGTCTCTGGCCTCGAAACATCACCGCGGATGGGGTCGTTCGCCACGTCAAGGCTAATCACCCAAACGGAGACAGGAAAGGACTCGGCTGCTCTCTCAAACTCATGCTGGATGTCAAACTCGCGTCGGGCCCCAGCAAAAAAAAAAATGCAGCCCCAGGCCACCCGGCCAGCCTACCATGTATCTCTTGCATTTTTTCGCTCCTCCTCCTCCTCCTACTCCCCCTCCTCCTCCTCCTCCTCCATTTCCTGCTCCTCCCCCCCCCCCTTCTCCTCCTCCTGCTGCTCCTGCTCCTCCTGCTCCTCTTCCTCCTCCTCCTCCTCCTCCTCCATCTCCTCCTCCTCCTCCCCCTCCTCCTCCATTTCCTCCTCCTCCTCCGCCGCCCTCCGCGCTCGCCACCCCGCGCGCGCCGCGGGTAGGAGTAGGTGAGGCGCTGGAGCTCGGACGGCTGGCGAGGTGTGGCGCGCTGCACAACGCTCGAAGCCTGCTGGATCCGCCTCCAAATTTTGGTTGCGCCCCCCCCCCCCCGGCCTGGGTGTTGGGGGGAGGGGGCGCTTCGGCGCTGGGGCTCGCATTCGGTGTGCGAACCTGCATCCCCGTTTCTTGGGCGGCCGCTGGCGGCTCCTGGGGTTGCCCGCTGTCGTCCCCGCAAGCGTGGGCCCCGCCTCTCCGTGGCCCTCCGTCGGAGGGGCAAGGACGCGCTCGTGAAACGCTGTGCGGCCGCGGTGCCCGCGCTCGGGACGAGGTCGTGAACTCCTCTGCCTGGGGGCCGCGCCGTTGTCCCTGGGACGGCGGCGCGGCCTCATTTGAGGCCTGTACTTCCTATCCTATCCTGTCCTATCCTATCCTCCTCCTCCTCCCTCTCCTCCTCCGCTCCAATTCCTTATGAATAACTCCTCCCTGTCGCACCCCGAGGCGTGTTGGTAGGGCGGGCTGCGCGTTTCGCCGCGACGCCTGAGACTTGCTTATCATGTATCAGTTAGGAACCTGAAACTTTCAAACTGACAACGGCTTCACACAAGGAGGTCGGGCCGCGCGCCAAATGTGACTCTCGCCTCAGTGCCGCGCGCATGCGCTTTCAAATTATGCAGACGCTCTACGGATTGACGACATGCGGTGTTCAAACTGTGACTCTCGCTTTAGCGCCGCGGACATTCGTTTTACCAACAAATGCAAATGACAAACGGTTTTCAAACCGTGGTTCTCGCTTTAGCGCCGCGAGTATGTGTTTCAAGAGTTGCAAGATTTCCACGGATTGAGGACAGGTGGTGTTCAAAATGTGGTTATCGTCCTAGCGCCGCGCACACTAGTTCCAAACAGTGGCAAAGGGTTTCGCTGATTCTCATGACCAACATTACAGAAATGGTGTGTTCGGAGCGATTTAGACTGTCAATGCGCAACAGATGTGTTGCTTCGCGGTGTTGAAGTTCCAGGAATGTTTTGGCACGATCCAGGACAGTCAAGACGCAACAATCAAGTTGATTCGTGGCGTTAAGATCCTGATAATGGTGTTGTGGCTCGTGCCAAAATTTTACAACGGTTGTCCCCCAACGGCGCACATCCCCCAGTGGAAATGAACCCTGGTAGGGGCCTGTGAAGAGGGAGCTTCGCTTGGAGGGAGGGTTCCAACATCGTTGATGAGTGTTGGGTTTGCACTGGTCCTCATCCTCCTCCTCCTCCTCCTCCTCCTCCTCCTCCTCCTCCTCGCGCGCGCAGCGCAAAAAGGCGGCCCACGTCTGTGCCCCACCCTACTCGGCTGCGACAATTGTCGTCGCGACTTTCGCCTTCGCCACAGGCGGCACGAATCCCTCCTTCAAGGCCCGAGTGGCTTGTTGGACATGGGCCCCCGGGAATTCTGCAGGGCAGAAGGAGGCTCTTGAACTGGTCGCCATTCGTCATCCTCCCTCCTTCGAAATCCGTTCTCCGTCCTCCTTGCTCGTCCTGGCTCTGGGAGCCCTTTTCCTTGGAACGCTGGAAGTTACTCATGCCGCTGCTCCCTGGACCTCTCGCGGGCTGCGTTCTGACCAAAACTTCGGAGAGGATCAAGCTGTGGCGACGAGGGTTCTTCAGGACGAACAACGGTATCTCTATAGTCTCTTGACCTTCTCGCGCTTCGCAGAACCCGAGAGCCCGCAAACGGCGGCGACTCGATCCCCGCAATCAGGGGTCCCCGAAGCTTGCGGCGGGTCTCTACCCTGGAACGACCGCAATTGCACTGACGCCGGCGCCGAAACGGCACGGACTGATGGCCGCACAGATGTGCCGTGACGACCTGCGCGTTTGCTTTTCGACACCGCGTGGGCCTTTCAGCCTCGAACTGTCGGCGCTTTCCGAGAGCCCCAAGCCTTCCAAAAAGGGCCCCCAAATCGCCCAAGGCTTCCCCAACAAGTCCTCGAGATGTGCCCAGGGTCCCAAGATGCCCCCCAAAAAGGACCCACATATGCCCCTTATGCCTCAGCGTTACGGCGCGCACCTACAGTACTGTTACCGTACGTGTGTTGTGCTGTGCTCCACTCGAACCCATATCGGTTGCTTGCCCGAATCCTTGCGGGCGCAGGCGGCTTGCAGCTCGGCGTTCTTCCGCTTCACCTGGCGAGGTTACTTGAACCGCCACCATCTTCTCCTCTAGCCCATCTCTCCCTCCTCTTTCCCTGTGCGCTCTTCCCGGACTACGCCCTCCTCACCCTTCCTCCCGTCTCAGCATTCCGCCGCCCCCCCCCCGATCCCCATGAATCATCCCCCTTCCCACCCTCACTAAGTTCGGTCCTCTCTCTCTCTTTTTTTTTTTTTCTCTCTCTCTCTCTCTCTCTCTCTATATATATATATACCTGTGCCTCTGATAGGTCTGTTTCTCTTTCGTTTTTTTTTGCCCTGCGCTCCACGCGCGCCGCCGCATATGCCGACTGCGTCGCCCCCAAATCATCTCGATGAACCGCCCCCGTTGTTTTTGTGTATGGGGTTAGAGTACAAAGGTGCAGAACCCCTGATCCGTAGGTAGAGGAAGGAGGGAAAGATCGGGATTTTTTCCTCCTGTGCGATCAGCGTCCTGATCTAAGCCAATACCTGAGCCCAGAAGGCGAGCAAACATGCGAGCGAGGAGTAGAGATGAGGGTATGAGACGGATTCCTTTCACACGCCCCGTCCCGAATGCCGCCCGCAAGGGCAGAACTCGAGAAACGAAAGAAAGAACCTGTCACCCTCTTACTCCTAAAAGTACGCAAGCAGCAGGGCGCAAAAGTATGTAGCGCCTCTGCTACGTCCCGAGCACATCAGCAGGGCGCTAAATTATGCAGCGCCACTGCTGGTGCGAACGGGCAGGGCGAGGACGACGGAGCACCCAGGTGTCCATAATCCTTTCCGAACACACTTTGGTGCCCCATCGGTGCGCCCCCCCAACAAAAACGCTTCGGCACTCGAGGGTGGAGAGGAATGGGGCACGGGTGAGCGGAGCAAGAGGATCTGAGTAAACTGTAACAACATCAAAAGCCGCTGCATCTAGGATACAGCGGGTGCTGCCACCAGCATCAAACTAACGCTGGATATAAGATCCTGCTCTACGCTTCCTCGTCTGTAATGCGTGAACTGTCGCACGGACCAATCAATCGATCAAAATGAATTCAGCGTCGCGTTGAAGAACATGAAAAGTTACATATGCAAAATCTGCAATGAGTTACTCTCCTCGGCAAAACTCCTAAGGAGCGTGCCTCGGATTTCATCAAGATGTGTATACGAAGCCGCTTGTCGTAGATTGTGAAGTGGCTAAAAGTTTGCGTGTATTTACTGCTCGAGGCGAACTCTTCAAAGGCGAAGTTCAAGCAAACTCGAGCAGTGCGCCTTGCGGCCGACGTTACTAGGTGTTGCCGCGCATGTAGAACTCACTGGCCCAAACAAGATGGCCGTCGATTCCAATGAAGCTCGTCATGTATATTGCCCAAGTGGTCCTTGGGTGCCATTTGCGGAATCGATGATTGTACTGCAGTTCGCGGATGTACACTAACTCATCGTTGTTCTCCGCGATGTACATCCAGCAGTTGTTGTGGTAGCTCCAGTACCTGGGGCCCCACTGGCTGCCCTCGAGGGTCTGGCGCCGCCACGCTGCGTAGTCGTCGGCGGTGTGCGCCCGCTTGGCCCGCGGGGGCGTCGCAGGGGCGCGGGCGCCAGCGCTGCTGTCGGCTGGCTGCCAGCCGCTCGACTGTGGGGCGGCAGCGGCGTCGCCGCGCCGCCCAGCGGGCATCGCTGCCAGCGCGCCAGTGGCGCGGCTTCCAGCAGCGTCGCCGCGGGCAGCACGAGGCGGCGGCACCGTGGCATCGTGGAAAAGGTGAGCGTGTGGGGGTGGTATCAGGTTCGGTTCCCACCCCTGAACCCTTCTCCCCATGGCCTTTAGATCCCAGGGCAGGTCCGACAGAGGCAGCTTTGGCAAGATTACGACGCGTGGTTCGGTCATAAATGCCGTCCCCACGGGGAAATGCGATCGTGACCAAACCGCGTTCTTGCCTAGTGCTTCTGTCCATTCTACCCTCATTCAACCAATTCCTACGACCGGCGAGGCCAAGTGTTTGGCTGCGGTAGTGGATACTGCAAGCCTCCCACATGTCTTCCACGGTCCAGGGCGCCTGGCCGACGGCCTCACGGGCACCGGTCATTTGGTGGTGGAATCGGGGTTCATTGAGGCAGCGCTGAAGGACGTTACGGAAAGGGTGGTATAATGGGCGGTCGTCATCGGGCTCTCCCACGAGCCTGCATTCGCGGGCAGGTGGGCAAACCGCAGCGCACGACCGATTGTACCTATCCTCGGCCTTCTTTGCCATTATCCTCAATCTATTGCGCTGCTGAGCAATAGCCGAACGCTGTCCCCCGAAGTAGATCCTCGTGCCGTCTGAGATGAGGCGGGCCACTTCGTTGTGGGACAGGTTGTTCCTGATCCACTGGTTGAGCTCCTGCAGGCGCGCGAGGTCCGTAGCCTCAGCGCCGCCAAGTCATGTGGCACCTACAGAGGTGCTGTATTGCCAACATATGTCACAGAGAGTGCCATCGTTAGGAACAACGCCCAGGGACAGGAATCGACTGCAGCTGCTGCATCGAGGGATATCATGCTGGAGGTCCTCAGGGGCCCCGGACGAAACCAGATCCCCAAGGCTGCCCCAGCGGGTGTTGCCGCCGGCTCCTGAAGCAAGAGAATGACCTAGCTGGTTCATTGCCTCGCGATTGAGCTCTGCGGTGGCTCGGGAAGCGACCGATCGTCCGATTCCCTCGATCTCAGTGAGCGATAATCGATCGCCGGGCAATCCAGTGTACTCGGTCGGTCCGATATCCGATGCGTCAAGGTTCCCGCAAGTCCTGGCTAACTCTGCGCGGATGCGCGCAGCTTCTGCCTGAAGGGTAGTCTCGTTGTCGCCCTCCTTGCGGTCGAGATTCTTCTGATCTGCCAGGACCTGCACCATCGTATCTTGATCTGGTGCTGCCGAGGCAACGCTGCCTGGGTCCTGTGGTATTTCAGCGGGAGCATCTTGAGTGGCAGCGCCTGGGTCATCCTGGCCAGGCGCAGCGGGTGTTGCCACCGGCTCCTCCCGCAGAGGGGGGCCTGGAGGTCCGTGCTTCCTCTCGCATTCTGTGTAGAATGATCGGAGCGCTGTGAGGGCTGGGTGGTGAGCGTTGATGGAGACCTTATTAAAGTTGGTCAGCTCTTGTATGCCCTCCAGCAGGAAGTGCTGGTATACTTTAGAGATCCACTGGAAGATCCCTGTAGTGGTACCCAGCACGGACTCGGGGTCGAGAAACCGCAACAGCTTCTTGAAGAAGTGCTCTGCAGTGCACACGGGAAGATCCCGTGCCCAGGTATGAGTGTGGCTGTAGTGTATCACAACAACAAGCTGGAATAACACATATGATTCGATCTTGTCCTGCATATACAGGTCGGGGCTGCCGTGTATCTCGGTTACCTGGTTTATCTGGAACACCTGCGACTCCATCAACGGTGCCGATGTCCAGTAATATACCATATGGTTGTCCGTTTTTCTTGTCCAGTTGTTGATATCTTTCGGACGATAATCCTTCTGGTTAAGGATATTCTCTGGTGGATCAAGGATGCATTCGAAGAGAGAAATACCAGAGTTCTGATATGCCTGGATCTCGGCTGTCATCTCAGCCTCCATAGCGTCGTTGGCGGCCCTCTGCTCATCACTTACCACAACAGCGGAAACATCAACGACAATGGTTGAGCGCTCGGCGGCGGTGTCAACCACCTGTTGCCAAATGCCTTCGTCGATCCCCATGGGATCTTCAGCGGGTGTTGCCACTTGCTCCTGGTCGGATCCAGGGGTCCGAGGATCGGTGTTTTTGGGTGGTGCGCGTGGGATACGCACTCGCTGAATAGACGGAATGCCGAAGTATGGAAGCTCATGTAATTGAGCATACTCCTCAATCTGGGAGCTGCATGGTGAGGGCCCCTTCGTAGCCACCTCTATGTGGGCATCGTCAATCTTGTCAGTGCGTATGGGCATAGCGTAAACGATGCCCTTGAGGGGCAGATTTTTGTCACAGTACCAGATGTTTACCCAGAGCAATCCGTAGTGCAGTATCGGTATCTGTACTGCGAAGAACTTTTCAAAGACACCGAAGTGCATGGCGGGGCCATAGATGTGGCCCTTGTTCATGCGAGCTTTGGTGCTATAATCGCCCTTGGGGTAGTGGTTGTCGTAGTGGCAGTTGATCTGACCGCAAGTGTTCACGAAGATGAAGTCTCCGACGCGAACATCTGTGAAGATAGGACGTCGGCCCGAGTCTCTCTGCGTGAGTTCTGCAGCGATGGGCCTGGGGGCCGCCCTGCAGCGCGCCATCGAGATCAGCCAATTATTGTCCTGTTGGTTGTAGGTGCTCCTGCCGCACATAGCACGGACAATGGCCTCTTCGTCGAAAGTATCGGGGTCGGCAAATTCTTCTGCCGAATGAATGAGCGCTGCTGTTACTGCGGCAAGGCCAGCAGGGGTTGCCCCTGGCGTGGGAGCAAGGGGTTGCTGTGCCGATGACGCAGAGGCAGATTCGGAACCACTGATCTGGGCTATCGGGGCCTGCTGCAGAGGCTTTGGCGAATACGCCACAGGATGAGCCTTCGCAGCAAGCGTTGCCGCCGGCGCGGGTTGGTGTTCGTCTGACGGCGATGGTGGGGCAATCCCAGGAGGGTCGGCAATCATGTCAGCCTCTAACTCCTGGGCAACTTGCTCCTGTCGTGACTGCTGCCGAGGCGGAGCGTAAATTTCATATTTGCTGACTGGTGCTCGCTGGCGCTCCACGGGTGGGTAGTCCCAGCGTGGTCATTTTATAGGCCACAACTGTTTGCCGCAGTCGCGGTCCCCCTTGCAACGGCGAGTGGCCACGATTGCAGCAGAAGGAACCACGTTTTCGGTCATGATGGCGCCTTGGGCGCCGAGCTAGAATCTGCATCCAGATTGTGTGGCAATATACATGTCAACCACGATCTCCACCTCATTTTTCCAATGGTTGAATTTGTACGGTGTGACAAAGGTGTGAGGATTAGGCTGCGCACCCTTCATGTACGCACTCGAACTGTAGAATACCTCGGCGCGCGGCTC